TCTGATGGACGGTTTCTTGGTGGTACCATCCTCTATTTTTTTTAGTTTCAAAATGCCCAAATTTTGGCGGGTTTAACTTTTGGCGGGCTGCCAACATCTTAATTGGATCCTTGATTCGACAACTTGAAATTTCAATTAAGGATATTTGAGTTTTGGTATGAAGATTTATTACTTACATCTTACATATCTTGCCAAGCTTGTAGAATATTGTTCCACTTTTGAGTTGTATATTTAAATTCAACACGAATAATGTCGAGTTGAGGCCTGTAAGTTAAAGTAAACTGAATACATCTAGCTCGAAACGTATCATTCTTCCCATTCCACTTTTTCAAAAACCAATGTTCAGATTTTAAACTTGGCATATTATCTTCATCCCATACATACACTTTTGTATCAAGTTTCAAACCTTTAGAGGATTTGCCTTCCATATAGTAATACTTAGATGTAAGTTTAACAGATGATGGTTTGGATTGAGTTAACTGAGAGAAGAATAAATCTGAAATTGGACCAAATGGAAGTGTAAAACATAAATTCTGTCTCCAAGTTACATTTCTTGCTGAATCAGGATTCATTCTTGCTACCACACTTCTTTCTATTAATGTCTTGGCTTCCTTGACTCTTGTGTGGTTATATTTAGGAGAGGCTGGTGACAATTTAATGTTGAATGTGTCTTCACCACCATTTGGTGTGATAAAAAATTGAATTCTTTCCATTAAGGCTTTAGATTCATTATCAGAAAGACAGTATGTTGTATCATTATCAGTATTCCACATATTGTTATTAGAAACCATTACTCTTCCACATTGATAATTAATTTCTACATTATAAATTATAAATTTAAATTTAAATAAGAAATACTTACTTGGAGGAGAGGGTTGTGTAAGAAGAGCCAAATATGAAAAGGCTTTCAAATATTTAAATATTAAGTATTATGAAACATACTTTCATTTTGTGTTGGTTCTTCCAATGGTACAAAATTAATGGTTGGTAATGAAAAATTGGAGGCTTGATTGGAAGTAAGTGGCCAATGTTGAATAGTTCCTTCGTTTGGCATTGTATTTAAAGTGTCATCCATATCTAGAATTATATTATCTCTCTGGTTGTTAACAATGTTCACTTATCCGATTAATTAATTATTTAATTAATTATTATACAAAACTACAACCTACCACGTTTTGTTGGTTTCTTCTTCTTGATAGCGGTAATATCAGAAGACTTCTTCCAATTCCATTTAAACATATGTGGAATGCTCATTGTTGATGTTTGATTATTTGTTTGTTGTTAGTGTTGAAGTCATGTTGTGGGATGTAGTTTGTGGGAGGTGGATGTTGTGTGCGTGTTGTTGCATCATTTTTTTAAAATACAGCACCCTTTGCGAAAAGACAAAAATTAAATACTTGATGGCGACACATGCTGTGCAAGAAAAAATCCAGAAGAGGAAGAGATCTGATTTGAACATCATTCCACCCAGAAAGAGAAAAAACCTGAACCTTATCAAAAAGAAAACAATCATCATGCCAAGAAAAGTTGAGGAGCCCAAAAGACCAGAGCTTTCGAAAGATTTCGTGATTGATGTAAAAAAATCCATCAAAACTACAGTGACCCGAGATGGTGACATTCAAAAACCTTGGATCTCTTAAGGAATTGGTGGATTTTTTGGAAAAGGATATAGTTAAGTGAGTTCAGAAGTTTGAGGGCCCTTGGGGTTTTTTCAGCAAATACTTGAACGTTTTGAGAATTTGGTTGAGAAGTAATTAATCATTCTTGAGGAATTGTTTGAAAACAGTTTGAAAGTTGCTCAAGATTTTCTTGAACAAACTTTGGATGTATTTCAAGTAGTTTTTAGGTAAAAAAGGCACCTTTTAGGCACCTTTTTGCAAATTAGCGTGAAAGTACCTTAAAAAAGTCGACTTTTAGCAAAACTTTTTCCGGAAGTCTAATATTAATAAAAAAACCAAGTTCATCTCATCACCCCAAGTTTTTCGTAATCTAGATATTCATTATCACATGGCTGATGAAAACTTTTAAAACTCATCTGTATTCCGATAACAACAACCAATTCAATCTTCAAATGATCGTTAATAATAACAATATCTTTAATGCACCAACGAATGATGATGAAGGAGAAGAAGAATACTGCTCAACACCAGATGAAGATTCTTTTCCATCATCATTATCATCACCAATAATACAACAACAACAAGACAACATCAATACAAAACAATTGAAAAAACGAAGAAGAAAAAAAAAGCGAAAAATGTCCGCCGTCAGTGGAGAGTCATCCTCATCATTAGCTGCTGATCAACAAGAACAGTACTATATCGAAAAAACAGATTATGGAGAGTTGAAGATTACACCTATTGATATAAATTGTTTGGAGGCTTGTATAAATCAAGTGGCTGGACATGGAACGAGAAAGAAAAAAAAGGAACTTTCATTGATGGTCAGGGATTGTAAAATATACAAGGCAATACAACCAGGAAAGAAGAGATCGTGGTCAGAGGTTCATTTCTATGAGAATCAAGTTAAATTGGCAGCCTATCTTCTTCCTTTCATTCCGAAATATTATGGAGTACAAAGAACTTTTGTACCTTTGGAAGAAGGAGAAATACCTGATATTACATCAAACAGCTCAGTGATGGATACTTTATATTTACAACAAGCAGGTGTTAGTACTAATAGTGATTTGAATAGTCAATCTTCATCGGAAGTGTCTTCATCATCAGTGTCACCTGCCAATACACCAACACTTCCTTCACAACAAACTTTCAAACCAATCGATTTTATAGTATTAGAGGATATTACAGCTAATATGGATCATCCAAATGTGATGGACATTAAAATGGGTCAAAGAACCTATGGCGAAGATGCCTCACCACAAAAGATTTTGGAAGAAGAATCCAAGTACGTCTATCAACACCAACTAGGAATGAGAATTAGTGGAGCTAAAATCTATGACATGTAAAAAAGGAATATCAATATTT